AGCTTCAGCGGGCGGGGCACACACAGGAATCCTCGCAGCCCCACCGCCTTGCGTCATTCCTCTACTCATTCCGCGCCCCATGCGGTCTTGGGTGCAACAGTCGCAATACGTTATGATATGCCCCGTCCCTCGCGGCGCGGTCCGCCCGCTCCAGCGCGCCACACAGCAGCGGCACTCAGCAACACACACACACACACACACATACATATATACGAAACACGCACACCGGGCACAAAGAGGTAAAACAAGGCCATTGCAGTCAGCCCAGTACGCCGCAAAGACAAGCCTCACCTCTCTCTCTCTCTCACACAGACTCACTCCCCCCTCCCACACAATTATGTATATATAAAAGGGAATGGGCAATCAAAGAATGAACAACGCAAAGCAACGGGGACACACAAACAAACAAAAAATGAATGAACAGTTTGCGCCTTACACATACAAGCACGAGAGTCATTCTCACCACAGCGACCCCATCCACCCCTTCTTCGTGCTATCACCCCACAGCAGCGATGCAGTGGAGGAAGAATGAGCGGCGACGGCCCCTTTCTTTCCAGCCGTAGCCGTTGTGTTCATCGACCATGGACGGCTGCTCGTGCTGCTGCCCGGCAGTACTTCTCCCAATCCTCCCCTTGCCGCTGTTGTTGCCCCTGTCAAGGTGAGCGGTGACGGCGCGGTGGTGGTCAATGGTAACAGCGGAAAGCGCTCACGCTCTGTGGCGGCCACAATGGCGCCGTTGAACTGCGGCTGGGCATTCGTTGCCACGCGGCCGCCATCGATGGCGGCATTGTCCCCCAAGTCCGCTATCGCCGCAGCACTCCACGAGCCGAAGGAGAGAGCGGTGGCACGTAGAAGCCGCTCATTGGCGCGCGACAGCAGCGGCGACGCCAGCGACCACGCCACGGGATCGATGCGTTCCTCAATAGCCCGCAGCACCGACACGATGGGCGGAGGTGAGGCACCCTCGCCTTGTGTGAAGAGGCCGGCGATGTAACGCACGTCAAAGTAGAGCTGCAGCAGCGCCTCCTCCTTGTCGTCATCGGCACCGCCACCCCTGTGAGTGTGGCCCACCCCACGGCCAGCGCCTGCACTGCTGTCGCCGCTCCTGGTAGCGGCGGCCCCGCTCATAAACGGCAGCACAACATTCAACACAGCAGCAGCGGTCCCGTCAAGCAACTCGCGGGTAAGAATCGGCAGCACTGTATCATGCAGGCGCTGACCCACACCAACCATATAGAGGATGTGCTGCAGCGTGAAGAGAAGTTCCGCCACGTGCGGCGTGAGGTGCACGGGGTACGCGATGGGCTGCTGTTGCTGTCGATGGCGTTGTGGCTCCTGAGCCTCAGGCTGCTCTGTGCTAAGGCGCCAGCACGCGGCGTACTCCAGCGTGTAGCGCCGTGAGGCCAGAGAGGGCGCGGCTGTCGTCACCGTGACGACCGTCAGCGCCTCTCGGTAAGCCGCGCTTAGCCCGCTTTCCCATTCACGACGCAGAAGCTGCACCCACGGTGTGTAGCATGCCACAAGTGTCTCGCGCAACTCCCGCACAAGCAACGCAGTTGGTTCTTTTGATGTTTCTGCTCCCCCTCCTCTCATTGTTTGCGCCGTCTCCACAGCCTGCAGGAGCACCTCCACAAGCAGGGAGAAACGATCAAACATAACCATCATCGATGCGCACGACTCAACGCTGTCCTCTTGCAGTTGCTGAAGCTGCTGCCGCTGGCTCTCCTCACGTTTTCTCATTAGCTCCTGCACGCGTCGCAGAACTGTTGTGATCCACGCCGTGATGAGACTGTGCGCCGCCGCCTGTGCTGTTGTCTGCACGTGTTCGGCGTCAAAGATACGCAGCAGCATGTGCCGCAGCACACTGAGATCCGCCGCATCATCACCTTCATCCACATATGCTGGATTAGGTGAGGCCGGCGCCGCTGATGTTGTGGCTGTTTCTGCCGCTGCCGGTGGTGGCGTGCTGTTGTTGTTGTCCTCAACCTTCTCGTCATCGTCGTCCGCGAACAGCAGTTCCTCCCCCATCTCCTCCTCCGTCCTCTCCGAAGCCCGGCTGAAGTCGCCACCACTCAACACCGCAGCGAAGATGTTGGCAGCAAAAGTGGCAGCCGACGGTGCTGCTGAAGCGTTGTTGGTACTGCCGCTGTTGCTGCTGCCACCTGCACGCGGGTACATCGTACCGTAAAACGTCTTCCCATCAGCCAACGGCTTTGTGTGAGACCACACACACTGCACCACGGCACGTGCGAGCGCAGCATTCGTCGCGGTGCCGTCCTTTACGGAGGGCGGCGGGCGTTTCAGTGGTGGCACTGACGGAGAGGAGTAGCGACGGGCATTGCCACTGCCGCGCTTCAGCGCCGTGATGCGTTGGCTCACACAGAGCGAGCGGCAAAGCAGTTCCTGCGTCAACTGCGGCGGTGCCCTCGGCCGTGACCTCGTGGGGTCTTCTACTTGGCTTGACTGTGGCCGTTGCTGTTCCTCTTGAGCATCTCTGCATACACGCTCCAGAATGGAGTTGCAGACGCGGTCCGCCTTGCGCAACGCCGCACCCATTGCCTTGACAAGTGCGCGTTCCGTCGTGCTAGTGACCATCGCCACCCATTTGGCCTCATCAAAGAGAGCTTCGTTATTTCTACCGAGACGCGTCTGCATCCCGGACGCCTCGCTTCGTGCGAGGTGCTCCTGCACGCCAATGCAGTGCGGCTCGCGCAGAAGACCAGCCTCCGCGACGCACCCCAGCAGCCTCGACACCAACTCCTGCACCATCAGCAGCCGCTCACGCACATCGCAGTACTTCACCGTCGTGCTGGCACCACCTCTGTCCTTGCTGTTGTCCTTGTTGTTGCTCTCGCCATTGCAGTCGCTGTCCACGTCATATTTCTTTCCCGCCTTTGCCTGCCGCAGGGGCCTGGGGTCGAGCAGCTGCAGCCCACACACGTGACGCATCACCTCGCGCAGATACGCCGTGCGTGCCCGTGACCGATTCGGTCCGTGCAGATCTGCAGCGGTGTCCGCGTGCAGGAGTGACGAATCCACGCTGTCATCTGTGACAGCGCGCAGCGAGGAAGAGAGGGCGTCACGTGTGAAGCTGCCACTCAGCCGCATTGGCGTCATGTCAGTCGTCTCCGTTAATTGCTTCTCACCTTGCTCTTGCTGCTGTGCGGCGAGGCGAGTGCGAAGAGTGAGCAGCCCCTCCACCGTACGCCGCCGCCGCTGGCAGTTGGCATACTCGTCTTCCTCCTCCGCCGTGAGAGGGCGACCACCACTGTTGTCACCCTCCACCGTCGTGGCACCCACACCGCCCCCGTCAGGTCCGCACAAACGCGGCGCCACCGACGCCACGTATGCCACTAAGTGAAAGAACAACTGCTGTGCACGCTGCACCGCATGCAGAGCAATGACCGCATTATTCCTGCTGTCTTGTTTGTTTCCTTCCCCGATACTCCTTCTGGTGGTAACGTTTGGCAATTTGCCAGCCTCGCCCGAGTCGAGCAGGCACGGTGGCAGCTGCAGCACCGCCCGCAGCCACTCCATCACTCCTGCTGGCCGAGCGCCGTCGTCACCGGCGGTGGCGTGTCGTCCTAACGACCTTCGCGACTCCACGGCGCTAATCAGATGGAGGTCGCCCTCAATCATACGGGACACGAGATCGATGAGCAGCAGCAGCGCAGGCGGTGCAGGCACCTCGGACAGTATGCCGAGCGCCGCGTGTGCCTCCGCCATGTGCTCCACCGTGACGGATGATTCGCTGCTGTCCGTCATGTGTTCGTCAGAGCGCCTCGTGTCGACGCTGCTGTTGCCGCGCACACGGTGTTTAGCACCTGCCGCATCAGCAGGGGATGCTGCGGCAGCGACAGCACGGAGCGCTGCGTCATCGGCGTCCTTACGCAGCAACTCCCCCGTCGCGTTGTACAGACGGCTTGCACACAATTCAAGTTGCTGCTGTTGCTGCTGCTGCCTGTCCACCGTCGTTGTGGGCAACAGCAGCCCCTGCTCCACCACGTTCTCCTTATTGCGCAGAGTCTCACGCAATTCTTGCAACACGGCGGCTGCCTTTTGAACCTCCTGTGCGCCTAGGAGGCCCTCGATCGCCATGCACCGGTGTTGGAAGAAAAGTTTTCGACGCAGCTCCAACTCCAGCACGTTGAGATCCGGCACCGTTGACTCCTTTTGCACCGTGCTGGTGGGGAAGGCGCTATTCTCCGGTGGGACCGCCCTGGGAGACGCCTCGTTGTGCGGCGTGGGGACCATCCGCCGGGGCGTGTGTGAATAGTCGAGCAGATCCCCACCTACTGTAGACAACGGCGAAGAGGACAACGTCGTCTTCTGTGCTTGCTGATGCGGCTGCTCCAACTGCAGCTGCTTCTGCAGCGCGAGGAGCTTGTTGCAGGTGCGCTCCATTCCGACAACCCGATCACACGCGGCGATGAGGTCGCGATAACTTTGGCCCACGATCTGCTTGAGCCGCTCGTCGCTCTCCTCAATGCCGCGTGTGATGGTGGTGAGGTAGTCGTGCACCTGCTCCACGCTGTTGTTCATGAAGATGCGCCGCACCTCCTGCACCGCCTCCTCTGACGACATGTCGCCCTCCTCCTGCTGCCGATCGTTGGTGCTTCGTGACGGCGATACCCTTGTATCTCTTCCTTATATATATATATATATAGATGTGTCTCTCTCCCTCTGCGTGTGTGTGTGTGTAGGTGTGCGGGCGGGCGGCGGGTCTTGCACCTGTACTTATGCTTCTACTCTCTCTCTAGATATATATATATATATATATATCCTTTTCCACTACTACCGTTGGCCACAATGGGGGAACAGCAGACGACGACAAGAAGAGCGGCAGACGTAAAGGGCGGCAGCAAAAAACAACAACAACAAAAAACCGAAGCATTCGACTCTCCAGCCATCTCTGTTATTTGTGTCTGTCGGTGTGCTTCTCCCACGCTCTGCGGGGGGAAGGGGAGTGGGTGGCAGTGGCGACATGAGTTGTGGCGAATCCGGCGACTACACAAATAGGCACATATGCAAGGCGAAGCGTCGCCGACAGTGTGTCCACGGTGCACGGCACACACACACACATCAAACAGAGAGGAACACAGCCAGAACGAACATAATAAAAAGAAAACGACCATCACGACCCGCACAGCCACGGCGAAAGCTGTGGTGTGTATGTGTGTGTGTGTGTATATACACACGCCTCCCCCCTCCCCGTGCTCCCGGTGCCACCACCACATGTAGGACCGGGCGCTCAGCCTCCATACGCATACATCCACACGAAACGAAGAACGTGCCCGTGCAGATGGGGGCGCACACACACACACGCACAGAGAGAAAGAGAGACGCCAGTCGTCTACCGCATCCCGTGATCCTTGCACCACGCGGCAAAGCGCTGCTGCGGCTGCGTTGCCCCGCCATCCAAGTCCAGAAAACGCAGCATCTGCTCCCGCGACCGCCGCTCGCCGAGGCCGTAGCGCCCCACCTCACGCAGCGCCTCCGCGTACTCCGTCTCGGCGAATGCATCCTCCCCGTTCCCATCTCTGCGAGCTCCAAAGAGAATGTGGCAGAGACGTGCGACACTGCGCCACCGCAGCCGCGTCGTCGTTGGAGAGTGCGTCTTCTCCGTTGCGCGCGACGTCGCCTCGGTGTTGCTCGCACTGAAGAAAACAATCGGCTCTGTTGGAGAGAAGAGGTCCCACCCGTGCGTCCACAGGCGCGCGCTCAACAACACCGCCTCTTCATCAGGCGTGACAAACTGTATGAATGGATCCAGGGGTACATGATCGCTACCGCGCTTTGCGGTGCTGCCCTCACTGTGGATGCTCGTGTGACTCTCATCACCGCGTGTGTAATCAAAAAAAGCCTCTGCGCGTGCGAAGAGAAAGTCCGTAGTGATCCACGACAGCAACTGGAATGGCAGTTTTGTGTTACTCTTCCTATCCTTGGACATCACATCAGGGCACCCCTGCTCGCCGTACTCCGTGCACCAGTGTGTTGGCGACGGCTGCATGTACCGCTTGTCCTGTATAACATGACTGAGACGATTCACGTTAGTGATGTGAAAGAACAGCGGCATCGCTTGCTGTTTTTGCTGCTGCTGCTGCTGCTGCGATGGAAGCGACTCATCCAACTTCTCTGGACGAAAACCAGCGATATACGACGTCGTGTTCTGTTTGGCCGCTTCCAGAATAAGTAGACGCTGCAACGCTTCGCGGAAGCGATAGAGCCAGTACAGCTGAATATCTCTACGGCGCCTCGTGTTGGGGGTCCGATCTTTGTTGGCATTTGAGCGTATATCGATGCCACCGCTACTGGCATGGCTTCCGTCAAGACGACTGCGACTCGTATATGGTGCCTCAGTGAGAGAACTGCTGCCAAACACGTGATCCACAACCTCAGCTTCGGTGATGCCAAGGTCCCCGCCACGGGTGCCACTCACGCTCCCTGTCCTTTCTGCACCGCCGCTTGTGTGCAGCCGCACGGCGTTCGTGTCGAGAGCCCAATCAAAAGTCATCATCCATTTTTCAATCTTATCCATCGGGCGCAGCGTCGGCGGCTGTGCGGCACCACTGATGTTGCGGTACAGCTGTGTGGAGGCCAGCACTAGCCCATTCACGCTTGAAATAACGGCGCCAGTCCACGCCGCACGCACCGCCTCGTCGCTCACGGTGTTTGGCGCCTGTGATAGCACCGAGTGGCGAGACGGCAACTGCAGCAGCAGCAGTCGTGTCACCGCGTCCCACTGCGGAACGAGCAGCAGCCCGTCACGGAGGAACAGCACGTACGTCTCGCCGCGGTACAACGTCAGCGTCGCGTAGCGCTGCGCTGCGACGGAGGAAAAGGGCGTACGTGTGGTTCGTCTTCTTGGTGTTGCTGCAGCAGTACTATCCACGCCTTCACTCGGCAATGGGAAACGCAGCTGCCGAACGCGAATATTGTCTGCGGGGCAAAAGACATACCGCTCCTCGCAGTCCATCGACAGGTACGACTCTGGTACACACACAGACGGCGGAAGGGGCGACCACGTTGAGTTTCCGCTCTGGTCTCCCCCTGTTGCCGTTGTTTTCGCTCTCGCAGCGCTATCAAGGACAACTTCTACAACACCCGTAAACACACCAATGGGCCAACGTGCGTTGTCGTAGATGTTCTTCAGCGTCATGGCGCATTTGCCCTCCCTAGGCGGTGTTGTTCTTCGGGTTGTGTACGACGCCTCGTGATGCAGCAGTCCAACGAAGATGCTACCCTCCAGCCCGTAGCCGCGGCGCACGGCGTGGTAGGGGCTCCAGTACGCGTCGGAGTGCACAACATGCTCGGCATAGCCGCTGTCGAGGCTCTTCTCTAGCGCGTTGTTAAGCCGCACGAGGTCCTCCTCGTAGTACGCCGACAGCATCGACTCAGGTGTCTCTATTGTACTCTTCGCTGCTGCCCCAGCCTCTGCAATAGCCTTCGTGCTCTCGTTGTGCATAAGCTCAAAGCGTTTCAGCAAGGTGAGAAGCTGCGTAACATACGACAGTGCCTCTCGTTGCGGCTGTTGCTGCCGCTCATTATTGAGCCGTATTTCTGCGGTAGTCGTGGCCGGTATGGACATGTTATTCAACAGTACCGGCAGCATCACCATGTAGCAGACAACAGCAAGCACCACGAGGGTGAGCGCCGACCATGCAGCGCCTCGGCGCAGGCGTAGACGCCCCAGCACGCCAGCACCTCGCCTTACTGCGACCATGCGACACAACTCACCGGCAACACTAGGGAAGGCCCTGCGCTGCTGGAGCCTTGCGGGCTGTAGTCTAGAGGCTCCTCTTTCTATCTTGGCGTTTTGCAAG